ACATTATGCAAAATAAATGAGTCACAGGTCTAAACAATCCATCAATTCTAGTAAAATGTCAAACAGCCACATTTGGTCAAGTACATTTTTATTGTATTTTGCCGGATGGATTTGGTACTGGAGAAACAGTTTGAAATGAGGTTGCGTGCATCATTTTACTGTTTCCACTCCTTTAATCATCCTTTCCGCAGAGTACTAATCTCTTTTTCATTCCCTTTCTCCACCCACATACCAATGTTTACAAGCTTCTGTCCAGATCCACCCTTGGCCACCATCATCCCCTCACCTGAGCCCCATCTGCCATTATCAGTATCATAAGTCTTGTCCAACAGCAGTCATAACTTATGCTTGCATCCTATTCTATTACAGTAATAACAGAATCCAGTTGAAGGGGATTAGCCTCTCCAGAAAAAGTAAGTGTCAACTTTTCAGGATTAAGTTATACTTGACTTACATCAGTGTCTTGCTGAGTTATCATCTAAAGTCACATTGCCAGGAGCTTTATATGCTAATATCACACATTCAATAGATTAAAGCATGGATCATGTCAGTTCAGTCATACTTTATTTTAATGTCCAATTCTCACTACTAATGAACTATTAACTATGACTTTTGCCTCAATAAACTCCTAATTTTCTGCTTACTAATAGGTAGTTGTCAAGTTATTGGGTAAGATTAAGGGATCTAAAATATGGTCATGCAGAATAAGGCATCAATGTGCTTTATAAGTACTAATAAACAGCCAATATGCTAGTAACTGGTTCTTAAAATAAAGTGTTACCATCAGTTCATATATGTACCACACTGATTCATGAAAATGTCAAATAAAAATTAAATGTATAAATGTATTACTTAAGAAAACATAGCCTTGTTTCAGTTCATTTAACAAGAATTACAGCATCCGCAAGACACATTCCCTGTAAATGGCATGAAGTTTGCACTTCTCTTGACACACTTACGGTTTTATTGTGACACTTAGGATGTGGGATTTTACAAATCTATACTTATGAATTCAATTAAGTATAATTACATGCAAAATATAAAAGCATCTTTATCACTGACCTGAATTTTTATGAGCACTTGAACACTGTTAAGCGGACACTAGGCTAAATTCAGTGAAAGATGTGCCCAGTGTCTTATTAAGTTGCTTCTTTTATTTTTTTATTTCAGGAAGATTTCAACAGCGTGACTTATGAATCATGCCAACAGTAAAATATTTAAATCTAACTTCTACAGTCAAATGTTTTGTTATGCTGAATTAACTAGTGTAGGCCTTGTAGCGAATCAGCTCAAAGGGGAAATATGAATAATTAATCATAACTAGTTATAATTAATTATACATATTTAGATCCGCTGTAAGTATTTACATGACCTCTCAGGGTCAACTGTCTGTCAATTCTAAGAACGTTAATTTCCTGGTTAAGGGAAATAACTTTCTTACTGTACAATTCTACACAGAGCCTGTAGCATAAATCTGCATGATTAAGGGACTCCAGTTATGAGCAAACAATGAACAACGTCAAGTGTGATACAAGTAAGACTTTATTAACTACATAAACACTTAAACTAGTCCAACATACTACATAAACACTTAAACTGGTCTAACATACGGAGAAGATTCCCGCCTCTCAAGATGGGCTTGTCCAATGAGAAAGGCTGAAATCCCAAGCGGGAGTTTGGAAATACTGGGGAGTTTTATGACCCTTTGTGTGAAAGCATGGTAATTTGCATATGGAACTTGAATCGAAATTACTAAAGATTCTCAGAACACTAATATATTGCTTATGTACCAACATATAATATACACTCTCGTTTAGATCATCAGAAGACTAATTCATATATACTAAACATGGTAGGGTTACATATAGGTAAGATGACAGGAACGAGTGGTTCCATCATAAGCCTGCATAAAACAGTATACAGTATAAAAGACAATATACAAGGACAGTAACAACATACACAATGACCTGAAGGATATGTGTGTTCATTCAAAGAAAGGTTTTCCTATGAATTAATTAGAGAAGAGTCCCCATTTTTACTGTGCATTGTGTCTTTCCTATGGAAAATGTAGTGAGTTTCTCTACCCACATTCCTTTGGGCAATAAAACCAGTGATATCAGCATTGGTTGCCATGGTGACCAGGGGCCTGGTGTCGTTCGCAGACATTCTGGCACCCAGTATGTTTATTGGGTGAGGGGTCTGTGACTATTTGTTAATCTAATGAATAATTGATTTGTTAAATCAAATGAAAAATGGTGTGTCTGATTGGTCCAGACGCTACAGCCTGCTAAATGACACTTGGGACATTTTATTTGCTACCAAATCACAACTCTAACAGACATTATAACAATTTTTTTTATTTTATTTTTTTTAGCCTCTATTTTGTGATACCCACCCACAAGCAACGTTTCTCATTTTAATTTAGTTTAATGTCATTTACTAAAATAATTAAAACTAAAATTGAAATAGAAATGAATGAATAAATGATTGAATCAATGAATAAATAAATGAATTAATATTTATATGATAAACACAGAAATAAAAACTAATTAATAAATAGATATAATTATATTTTAATTATATTTATGATACTGCAGCATGGTACAGCATTTAATGGTTCCCAAACTAAAATCTCCCATATGCCTATTGATTGGAAAGAACAGGAGACAATAGAAAGGAACCCCTGGGTTAAACAATTATTATTGAGATAACTTTAAGATTATAGAGTAAGACTGTGAGTTACAGTAGTAGAACATTTAAGGAGCTTATATTCAAATCCCCTTTCATCTCTGGTTTATCCTCCAGCTTGTATCCACATACAATCATACAAACACTTAATATGCAAGAGTAAATGTTGATTTTTCTGCCTTTTTTTCTGCTGGAGTAGCAAAAGATCAGACTGCTTCTGACCATATGTTCAGCAGAGGAGTAAACATAAATCATGCAATAACATCTGTCGCTGTTTGCTATAATCACAGCAAAGATGCAATGTGTGTTCAGTTGCATTTGAGTGCATATAAATACAAACATAAATTACATTAGGCTTGTAAAATAAACTCATAAAGATAGAAAACAACTTCATGAAATTACCATTCTTTTAATATGATACTACCAACGAAAATACTGTTTAATAATAAGGGCAAATATCCATAGCCGACATCCCATGGCCTCATCGGGATAGTAAAGAGTCCACTGGATGTGCACTTCAAAATCTTAGCAGAAACAGTAGTATTTCTTACTATTGCTAACACACTGCTTTTTGCCTAACTGCTGTATATAGTGGAGAAGTGCCCCCTCACTTTGTGCACTCTGGCGCCGACCCTGATAGAGGCCTTTACATTTTGACATCCTAAAAACAGACTTTAGTCACATTCACTGTAAACAATTAATTAACGAAATGTACTGTATCCTAACTGCGTGAGCTTAATCAGACTTATCATTATTTTTTTACCAAAAAATATCTGGGGGACCCCCCCACATCTATTTTTTTTTTTTAAATCTGTGCTTCTCATCCTTTCTGCACTGTCTATGGGTAGTGCAGCTTCACCATACAGATTTAACTACGCGCACAGCTAAATAAAACAGACTGGGTGCTGATTAAAATGTCTGAAATAAATATTTCTGTGAAACGCGTTAGGGTGCACAGAAGAAAGCCTGATCTAGGACCTATATATAGGACCCATACAGCAGCAGAGGACTATTATTTTGTTGAACGAACTGAGGATGACGTCACGGGCTCAGATCTGGTTGACCAATTGGCGGAAAGGGGCATGTCAAGACCGCCCACAAGGGGAAAACTAATTTTGAAGTCGTTTATCCATTTTCTACCCGAAAACCAAAAAAACTAAAATCGAGCCAAAATCTTGTTTTTTTGTTTAGTTTTTTTTGAACAAATGAAAAAATGAAAAAACGACCGTTCCCTTTCATGGGAACTTCGAACTGCGTCCTCTAGGGGTCGCTATGGGGAACGCCTCGCCGTGACCCGTGTCTGAAGCATACATTGAAAAAACACCAACTCGTTGGCCGGCGACAGCCATGACGTCACTAGCACCGGTAGTGACGTCATGGCTGTCGCCGGCCAACGAGTTGGTGTTTTTTTTCAATGTATGCTTCAGACACGGGTCACGACGAGGCGTTCCCCATAGCGACCCCTAGAGGACGCAGTTTGAAGTTCCCATGAAAGGGAACGTCTCAGGTTACTTATGTATCCATGGTTCCCTGAGTAGGGAACGAGACACTGCGTCCTCTAGGTTTTCTCGCCATGCTGCGGATGCAAGCTTCAGACGAAGAAGTGAATGATGTGTAGCTCCCGGCGCTTATTTATACTATAGTCGCACCGGTAGTGACGTCATGGCTGTCGCCGGCCAACGAGTTGGTGTTTTTTCAATGTATGCTTCAGACATGGGTCACGACGAGGCGTTCCCCATAGCGACCCCTAGAGGACGCAGTGTCTCGTTCCCTACTCAGGGAACCATGGTTACATAAGTAACCTGAGACGTTTTCTCGTTTCTGCTTATTTCATTTCAAACTGAAAAACAAACTATCAAAACGTACACGGACCTTATTGGCAGCCTACATATTTCGCGTCTCGCGAAAAAGTGCCCCCAGGTACGTTTTTGCCATGAGACCAGGTAGATTTTAGCTGGGTTAACAAAATATATATATTTTTTTAAGTTTCTAAATTGGCACTATATATTTACTTTGGGCATTCATGAACAAAGCAAGAATCTTTCCAACTGTAATCGTGTATATATGATAGTTATATTGACTGTGCACTGAAAAAAAGATAGATTAAGCACACTCGCTGCAGTATAAACACAGTGTTAGACTGGTTTCAGATCCATCTAAAATTGGACATGTTTACATGAGATGCATTCATGTGTTCAAAAAAGTGGAGCACAATGAGTTTCAAATGAATGCAACTACAGTACTCATCCAACATCCCATCCCTAATTAAAATCAAGCAGAAACAGTGCTGTACAGTCACTGCATGAACTTACTGTGTTGGCAGTGGATTCCGTTGAAGCCTGATGGGCACTTGCAGACATATCCAATGAATGTGTCGCCCCTGAACGTTTCACTGATTTCACAGGTGCCTCCATTGTGACAAGGGTTTGGATGGCAGGGTCCTGTAATTTAGACAAAATAGAAATAAGCAAGTGGGCTGAAGTGTTTTTGATGTATGTAAGTGTTCACAACCCACATGATGGGTTAGATAAATAGTGGGTTAGAAGCAGACATCAGCAGTTTATAACATGGCCTGCAGTGGAAGTGCTTGTATCTCTGTCTACTGTGGTTCAAGTAACAACCTCTGTGACATACGGGGGGGGGGGAGATAAATGATTGAACACACTGAAGGAAAGGATGAAACGAGACAGAGTCACAGAGAGAAAGAGAGAAATGTAAGTATAAGCATCACTTTCTGAGGTCACCATGGGGCAGCTTGAGGGATAAATGATATCATGGGCACTGCATTACCTCTCCTGGCACTGTGTCAACACACAGACAGACAGACAGAAAGAGAGAGAGAGAGAGAATGAGTGCTGGCATTTCACTTAATCATTATAAACTGTCAGAGTTAAATCGGAGCAGAAATTAATAGATGAGTATGTGAAAAGGTCAAGGGAATGTTATGGGAGCAATGCTCTTTGACAGGATGCCAGTTTAATGACATTTTAGTGAACGATGGATTCAGAAAAGGTGTGACACATATGGCATTTAATATGTAACTAGATAATATATGTCATATATATAAATTTATTGTAATGTGCCTTGGCAGGAAGATTGATTCTCCAGCTGATTCTGGTTCCTCTCAAGGTTTTTACACTGTATAGAACATTGTAGAGTCAAATTTCTATCCTTAATTTAACTAAATATTCTGAGTGAATTTAACTTATCAATTTATCAATAGTGCAATTACTTAGATTGTTTTGGTTAATCTTTCTATGTAAATTGCACAATTACACGCAAACCTCAATACACATGTTGTTCAATTTGAACTATATTTGTGTAATATTTATCTATCGCTATGATAATGTACACTATTGTTCAAAAGTTTGGGGTCAGTAAGATTTTACTCTCATGCTGCCAAGGCCATATTAATAAAAAATAAAAATAAATAAATAAATAAATAATAATAATAATAATAATATTGTGAGATATTTCTATTTTAAAATATTTTAAAATGTAATGTATTCCTATGATGGCAAAGCTGAATTTTTCACATGATCTTTCAGAAATCATTCTAATATGTTGATTTGCTTAAGAAACATTTATTATTATTATTATTGTTGAAGCAGTTGTGGTGCTTTTTTGAGGTGTTGATTTTTTTGGAAACTGATATGTTAAATGGAACAGTATTTATTTGATATAGCATTTTTTGTAACATTATAAGTGACTTTACTGTCATTTTTGTCAATTTAATTCATGTTTGCTGTAAAAGTATTAATTAATTAAAAAATATTGACTGATCAAAGTAATTGTTTTCTGTAAATTCAAATTCTGTAAACTCGAAACTTGAATAGAATAACTATTAAATTATCTGATTGTTTCAAAGGAACAAAATAATCCTATAATCACTTGATTAAGTCAACTGATTACTAAAATCAACATTAACAGGGTAAATAAAATATGGGGAAATATTTTTTGTAATACTAATTTTAAACAATATGTATTGTAAAAATGACATGAATTTAATTTTGAGTGATGTGATTTTCACATATTGGCTCTTAATGGTTTGAGTGTCTCTACTCCAGATGGAAAACCACTTTGATTTCATCTATCGCTTGGAAAAAAATAAAAACAATAAAAAATGAAAGTGTTGTAACAAAAATGCTGATTTCACTACTAACAGCTTTAAAACCAACATCCAGGCACTGGACTGACTGTTCTAGAGTAGCTTCTAATCTCTTAGTCTTCTCAAATCCTGCATTTACAAGCAAGCCAACCTCATAAAAACCCCCGGAGGGCCCATATCTCATGGCCTATCAATACCATACTGATGTTTAAAACATTAGAGTGCCTGCATCAGGATGCATGCTGTCAAATGTTGCTTGATGAAATTGCAGGGCAGTCAGTTTAATCTTTCAAAATATCAGCAGCAAGTTCTACAGGAGGGCATGGGTGGAGTAAAGAGATGTATTACAGAGACATGATCAATGTACTCTTAAGTGCAAAGACAGACTAAATGAAGATTGTTCAAAAGACACAAATTTCATATTGGGTCCAAAGCAGAGGAGCTCTGGATGAGAGTCTTGAAAATGTTTGATTGTGTGACACAGTAGGATCTTTGAAAGATAGACTACTGCTCAAAAAATTGGGGTGGGTAAGATTGATTGATTGATTGATTTCAATACTGTTATTTAGCAAGGATGCATTAATTTGATCAGAAGTGACAGTAAAAAAACATTTATAATAAATAAACAAACAAACAAACTATTTCAAATAAATGCTGTTCTTGAAATGCATTTGAATTTTCTATTCAACAAAGGATCCTCAAAAAATTATGGGTTTAACAAAATATTATGCAGAACAATGGTAAATAATAATAATAATAATAATAATAATAATAATAATAATAATAAATGTTTATTGAGTACCAAATCAGCACTAAAATTATAACTAAAATAAAAGAGAAAATAAAGTATAGAATCTAATAAAAAACAGTGTATCATTTATACTAAAATAACACTGGGATCATGTGACACAGATCTTTTAAACTATGTATCAAATAATCCTTTAAAAAAGAAAGTCACAGTTTCCACAAAAATATTAAGTTATATAATAAGAAATGTTTAAGCAGCAAATCATCGCATTAGAATGATTTCAGAACAATCATGTGACACTGAAGACTGGAGTAATGCCTGCTAAAAAAAAATCAACTACGGAATAAATTAAGTTTTACAATATTAAAACAGAGAACTTTTATTTAACTTGTAATAATATTACACAATATTACTGTTTTTACTGTCTTTTGATGAAATAAATGCAGTCTTGGTGATCATATGAGATGTAAATCTTCTTACATGGTTTTACAAATGGAAACATTACATGAACTCAGGCCAATTTGTTATAAAAGTAAAAGTTAGTGGTGTTCTTAGACAACATAGGCTACATGTAAAAAAATAAAAAAATAAATAATAATAATGTCACTTATAGAAAAATGTGCCACAGAGGGTAACCTTATCGACATTTGTGAATTCCAGTACTGCGTCTCAGCTTTAATGAGACTAGCATCTAATTAAAGGGACACAGTGTAATAACCTTGCCAGAACTCTATTAAAAGCCCTCTGCATCCTGAAGGAGAGGGTGACAGCTATGCCTGCATTCTGACATGACAATCTATAACTGCACAACGCTTTGTGACAGCCCCCTCTCTACCTCCAGAGATATGGAAGTCAGAAGAGGGAGAGCAAGAGCAAGGCATGGAGAGAGACAGTGTGAGAAGGAGAAAAGGGAGTGGGAAAAAGGAAGGAGGGGGCACGAACGCCACATTTGCACATGTTCCTGAGAGACATCGCCAGGCATTGTGGCCGATGAAACAAAGCTTTGTCCTCTGTGCTGTTCCCTTTTGTGGCGCAAGTCAGGGGGATCAACAAGAATGTCAGCCGTTGCTGGGCTGCTCGTGATTGTGGCAGGAAAGTAATTGATGTTGGCTGGCACATGCATCCCGATTTTCCGACAAGTCACAATGGAAGCCAATCTATCAGAAGAGCCTGGTTCCAGTGCAGCATAGTAAAACCTCAGCGGTGGTTAAACACAGCAAATTGTCCGATGTTCCCTGTGCAATTAATCACTCTCTGTTGGACGCTCCCTGCTAAATTCCCAAAAGTGAATTATTTCTCGCTTATACGAATCAACCTTAAACATCATTGAAATGAGACAGGTAAGCAACCCAAATGTGTTACACTTGCTAATGTATTCATTTATGCAGAATGTGGGTAATGTGACTTGGATGGTATGGAAATCGTAACACATTAATATGGAGATATGGTGGTCACTTGGTTGGGTTATAATAATTACAGCTTGGCCGTCTGAACCCGTGCGTGTTTTCATTGAACAAACCTTTCAGCCATCGATTGGATCACCTGTATCTGACTTCTGCGAAGTCCATGCAAATAAAGCTGTCATTAAATAAAGCAATCCATCCATGATAATTACACTCCACACCGTCTATAGAGCATCGTATATAACAAACAGCCCATTGTACCTTGGCATGCAGCGGAAGTACTGTAGGTGTTTTAATTACTGTTCCCTCAAATGATCTCCAGGTGAAGGTGATGGAGGTGAGAGGGGCTCAGACAGCCTCTCTGTGTCTGAGTCATCATGAGCAGATTGAGTCGAGCGTTTGGGAGGTAGGGAGGTGAGCAAGTGGGGAGCTGGAGCTTAAATCAGACTTCCTGTAAAGTAAAATCAAGCACAGCACCAGCGCAGAGCAACAGTGAGGTCATGTGCACATGACCTGTATGTATCTTATGAGTCTGGGGACTGCAGAATGCTTTTTTCCACTATGGTCAGGTATTCACTTAAACAGTGAGGTCCAACAGACTGAGCACACATTGAAAACTGAGATTTTTTAAAATGTTTTTATTTATTTATTTTTATTTTTTGGAAGCTTTTGTAAGCACACTCATGAACACAACCAATTCTACAATTCTGAATGCACAATCCACAATATTCTCCAATAAAAAAGGAACATACATTACTGATAATTTGGGTAATAAGACACTGACTTGCATATGTATTTAAACTTCAAAAGTTGAATGAACATATTTTACCTGCCCTCAATGGGAAGCAATGTCAGTATTATGGCGGCAATCCTATGCCATTAATAACCGAGCGCACCACTGATGCTGGCGCGCGCGGTAGATCACTTCCGCGAGAGGAAAACAGATTTACACGCGAGGAAACGGGAGCCCGCGAGCTCACTTCAAACCCTCGCGCGCGCGTGACATGTCCTCTGCGCGCAATACAAGCCCTCGCGCGCGCATGATCATTCCTATGGGAAGCCAAACAACCCAAATGTGGGACGAAACAGCGCGGCATTAAAGTGTTCTCGCCGCGCTGACCTGTCATAGGCGCGGCTCAATGGACCGAGCTGCGCGACCGACTCACAGCGCAGAGAGGACAT